CAAGTATTTTAAGGGGTGGTAGATCTCGATAAAAGAAACATATTTTCTCTTTATCGTTTCTCAAATAAGTTCAAAATAACAGAGTTATTTTACTTTGAAAATTTCCAAAAAAATGATTTTTTGCTAAAATTTTGAGAACCACTGGATCTTTTCTGGATTATCTTTCTTGTAAATTTAATCTAATACCTATGTCTAATACCTATGTTGCCATATTATCAAGAAATTATGTTTTTTAACTAAAAAAAAATCCAAAAATATTTTTAAAAAATTCCGATTTTTTTCGCGAAATAAACCTCATAGGCGTGTTTCTCGGGATGAACTATACTACCGGTTAAAATACTTGCACTTATTTCTGGGACACCATGTATAACTAAGGAATTTAAATTTTCTGGTTTTATATTTTTTACTTTATTAAAAAAAAAGTTTCTGGTTTTATATTTACTTCATCCACGTGAATTCTGTAAACTGTGGATAGTCCATCTTCGCAATTGCCCAATTCGTTAGATTTTAAATCAGGATAAGATATAAGAGGGGGGTTTCTCAGTCCACTATTGATAGGAACGTAGTTCAGTGTGGATGGAATTCCTAAAAATTGAATAAATTGATCAGTCAAAAATTAAAATTAATAATTTTTAATTCATAATCATAATGTAAATATTAGCTACCTTCTTTCCATCTAGGTACAGTAATGAATATTTTCTCATTCCAAATTTCTATCCCTACAGGTAGAGCGTTCTCGAGCTGTAATTTCTTGCTCAAAAAGTCCTGAACCCTTAGATTCTCGTTTCTGTATTCAAAATCTACAATGTTCCATTCGAAATATTTTTGAAGCTTTTGAGCACAGACTTCGTCAAGAAATAAACAAATGCCAGTTAAAAATAAAATATAGTAGATTTTACAGCACATTCTGAAAAATAAGAAAAATATGGTTTGCAAAAACATACTTTTAAAAATATTTTAATTTATTTTTTTATTTCTTTAAAAAAATCCTATGAGAACACTCCTATTCTAGTTGTCAGCAGTGATTTACTAATAAACAAATTTGCCTAACGGACAAAAAAAAATGCTTAACGTTTCGGGAAGTATATCTCTTTCCGTTGTCGGAAGCAAAAAAAAACCACAAAGAACAAACATAAAAACTATTTAAAATATCTAAATACAACTATTCAAGAAACTTTTTTTCAAGAGATACGTCTATAAAAACCGTTGACGTTCTGTTAAATTTGTTTATATATATATATATATATATATATATATATATATATATATATATATATATATATATATATATATATATATATATATATATATATATATATATATATATATATATATATATATATACTAAAAAGAAAATTCTTGGGGATAGCGGTCTAGAGGCAAAAATTAAACAATTATTACAAACGCCGAGCTTTCGGAAAATATATTTCCTTTTTCAAGGCTAAAACATCACAAAAGTCAACTGAATATAATATAATATTATATAAACTTACGTGTAAAAAGTTTAATTATAAAAATAGAAAAATATATCAATTTCTATATGGAAGAAAGGAACTAAAATTTTGTATAAAAGTTAAAATCTTCTTAAATATTCATGATTTCTGACATTACTAAAAATTATTTTGACATAGAAAGGTAAATTTAATTATTAATAAAAAAACACGTAAAAAACATATAAGGTTAATCACAAGTTACAAATAAAAATAAAGAAAAAATCAAATTTTAAATATTATTTTTATTTTTAATAAAATGGAGTAAGAAAGAATATATATTACTAAGATCCTCAATATCTTTTCTTTTATTAATACAATTATCATTAATGTAAATTTCTACCATTTCAAGAAAAAAGTCTTTATTAGTATTAAATTCAGTATCCAAAATTTTTGCATTTTTAAAATCAATATTATGTAGTGTATCAATCACATGTTCTGATAATGCACAACTACGTTTACATAATCTAAAATCACTAATACGTATATTAATACGTTCTTTAAGAACAGTAGAAGTTTGTCCAATATAAGAAAGATAAAAAAAAAAAAAAAAATAACAAAAAAGATAAAGACTTTTTCTTGAAATGGGTAGAAATTTACATTAATGATAATTGTATTAATAAAAAAAAAGAAAAGATATTGAGGATCTTAGTAATATATATTCTTTCTTACTCCATTTTATTAAAAATAAAAATAATATTTAAAATTTGATTTTTTCTTTATTTTTATTTGTAACTTGTGATTAACCTTATATGTTTTTTACGTGTTTTTTTATTAATAATTAAATTTACCTTTCTATGTCAAAATAATTTTTAGTAATGTCAGAAATCATGAATATTTAAGAAGATTTTAACTTTTATACAAAATTTTAGTTCCTTTCTTCCATATGGAAATTGATATATTTTTCTATTTTTATAATTAAACTTTTTACACGTAAGTTTATATAATATTATATTATATTCAGTTGACTTTTGTGATGTTTTAGCCTTGAAAAAGGAAATATATTTTCCGAAAGCTCGGCGTTTGTAATAAATTGTTTAATTTTTTTGCCTCTAGACCGCTATCCCCAAGAATTTTCTTCTTAGTTTTGTTATAATTGATCGGTCAAGACTTCCTCTTTGTATATATATATATATATATATATATATATATATATATATATATATATATATATATATATATATATATATATATATATATAGCTTGTTATAACAAGTTAAAATTCAAAATTAACAATTACTACCTGATAACAATTATTATTACTTAATGAGGTAAAACCAAAAAGTCTCAAACTTTCTGTATGACTATTTTTAATTTGTCTTTAATTTTTACTTATATTATGTTTATTAAAATCAAAGAACCGATAGCCATACATTACTAACCTCTATAGATGCCTGAACAATACATTTATTTTTATTAGACTGTATTAAAAAAGCCTCTTTTATTTTTCGTTTAGGGGCTATCGCTTCTTTCATAATAATTTTTGCGTTGTTAAAATTTCCTCTGCGCTTTGTGTTCCATGAATGCTGACAAATCTTTCAAAGATTTGTAAAAATCGCCCTTTCTTAAATAATCTTTATGTTCTTTAATTTTTTTATTATTATATTTCGTATACAAAATTAGCACGACAAGTAAAATATAGTAGTATAGTAGTTTATGACAGTTTGCAAAGATTTTGAATTTTTTTATCAAAAATAATAACTAGGATTAAAATTCAGTTTAAAATTTATAAAATACACCAAAAGTACTCACTCAATGTCATAGAACTATCATAAATCATCAATCCAAATGCATAATATAGTACTACTTAAAAAAAATCTTAATGCACCTACCACTCGGAGCTTTACATTAAGCACTAATAACAAAATACAAAATGGCACTTAACGGAGAGTACTTTTGTCCTTAATAGGATCGAAAGTATCTATGTATTCATTAGCTTGATCTAATTTAATTATTCACGCTTATATTACCTATTTAAAAATTTTAATGGGTTTATTTATGATTATAATGTGACAAAAACACGGAACAACCAAGAAAAGTTATAATTGTTTTAAATAAAATGCGGGAATTCTTTGATTGATATATGGTAATTATTCTGAGTTGGCCGATTGAAATATGCCTTAATTTGTTTAAATTATTTGTACCTTGTTTGCAATTATTGTAGGGTAAGTATCAAAGAAAGAATTGAAAAATCATTCGTTTTTATTAATTTAAATTTTTTGCTTCTGAGTTTTTTTCAGATTATTACTAGGATATCAATTATTTATGAATATTTGTTCTTTGTTCTTGAAATTTTGTATTATGCATTTTTATATACACGGTGGTCCGAACTGTATTCCGGAAACTTCGGCGGCACATTCTGCAGATAAAAATAAGTAAAAAAGTTCGTAGAAATGTATGTTCCAAAATGCTTAGTTTCGGAGATACAGGGTGTAGAAGTTTCATTTTTATTTCGATTTTCTTCAAATAATATCTGAACTAACGTCAATATTTTGGATGAAAATTGGTGTCTGGGATTTTTTTGACAAGAAAAGTTTGATTTTGATATCAATATGACTCCTACTTGTAGAGGGCGCCACCACGTATTTTTAACTGGTTTGAAGAGTATTAACTTTTCGTCCGTACCTGTATAAAACTAGCTAGTTAAAAAATATACATTTACGACGTTTTTTACGTAAAAAAGGACTCTTGGTAAAAATTGTTACAAGTAATGGTTCTCGAGATATTTGATATCGAAATTACCAATACCTGTCATCATTGACATAAATTAAACATGTTGACTAATTAGTTATTAGACTAAAATCATAAATTTGAAATGTTTTTGTGCTAAAAGTTCAACAGAAACTATTTTATCATCATTTTTTCGACGAAAAATTTATGATTAGTTTAAAAAAATAAAAAGTTTCCAAATTTCTTATTTCAGTCAAATAACTATCTACTCAACATGTTTATTTTTAGTCAATAATGACATGTATTGACTATTCCCATTGTAAATATCTTGAGAACGGTTGCTCGTAGCGATTTTTACCAAGAGACATTTTTTACGTAGAAAATCACGTAAATGTATATTTTTTCACTCAGTAATTTTATACAGGTACGGACAAAAAGTTATTACTCTTCAAAACAGTTAAAACACATGAAGGTGGCGCCTCCTACAAACAGGAGTCATATTGACATCAAAATCAAATTTCTCATGTCAAAAAACTCCAAGACACCAATTTTCATCCAAATATTGACGTTACTTCAGAAATTATTTGTAAAAAATCGAAATAAAAATGAAACTTCTACACCCTGTATCTCCGAAACTAAGCATTTTAGGACATACATTTATATGAACTTTTTTACTTGTTTTTATCAGTAAAATATGCTGCCGAAGTTTCCGGAATACAGTTCGGACCACCCTGTATATAACAGAGCCAAAATTGCATATACCTACATATCATTTCTATCCTATATTTTTTTGTTACACTAGGTACATATTCTGTCTCTATATATCTATTTTTTTTACAGGAAGTACTGAAGAATAACCATGATGCGAACTTTGTATTCAGTCCGCTGTCTATAGAAATAATTTTGGCACTGACTCAAGCCGGGGCCAAGGGTAAAACAGCAGAAGAATTTACCACTGCTTTGAACCTTCCCAGTACGCAACAGAAGACACAAGAAGCATTAAAGTAAGAGCTACTACTCTATTGAATATTCTCAGATAATAAAATATACAGTGATTGACGTATTCAATTGTTTTTTGTCACTTCCTGTTTCACCGGAAATGACTACATGTTTTGATTTTTAAATGGCACCATCGGTATATTTCTACTTTATTCGTACACTCTGAATAGAATGACATATCATATGTCAACTTTTGACATTTTCGCTTAAAAGCAAATCGTATTTTCAATCCTTGTATAGAGGTTTCGATCTAGAGTGCCATGGATGTGCTGGATACATTAATTTTTAATCAAGGAGCCTTGGAAAAATAGTTTTGATCGTCTAATGTTTTTCATATCTTGGCCTGTTAAAAGATACTCAATTCGTATTTTTAATCATATCTCAATTAAGCCGGGACCCCATTAGCCAACACCCGACGCGATGCCACGCGATGTCACGCTATCACACGTAATCCTAATTTATGTCATACATACTAACATACCAAATTTCGTTTTTTTATCTGAAAAAAATGAGAATGTTATAGGGGTGAGCCACTTTTGAGACGCACTCGGTATAACAATTTTTTTATAACCATTAATTATTATTAAATTTTTTTACAGACAATTTTTACCAACTCTGAAATCCAACACGAACGATTTGAAGTTAAGTTCTGCCAATAAACTGTTCTTGGGAGAAGCTTTCGAGATTCTGGAAAGTTTCAAACAACTGGCAACATCGGTGTTTGAAGCTGGAGCGGAGAACATAGATTTTTCAAAGGTATTTATAAAGAGTTTGTATACTAAGGAGATCTTTCAAAATTTGTATTTTGACTATAAATGCGTTAGATTCGTTTAAAAAACACAGTTAAAATAACAGCGCTTTTAGTTAGTTTGCAAAATAGCTGGTTAGTTTTGAAACTAACCCGATTACCTACATTATTATATAAATTATATTTACTAAAATTTTTATTTAACCATTTTTTTGCTTATAAAAAATATAATTTGCGTAGCCAAGCGAAACAAGATTCTACATTGCAAAATTACATTTTTCCTGGTTTAAGCTAAATAAAAGGCGATTAAACCAATTTCGTCCACTTAAATGCATTTATATGTCGGCGAATGTCATATTTTTCTGTTTACCATTCTTGCATGCCTGTATACAGGGTGCTACAAATTCGAGGTATGAGAATTGATATCTCGGAAACCGTAATAGATATGAAGTTGGTTAAATTGGAGGAAAGTTGCGCATTGGGATGTTCACCAAGATGCCATCAAAAAAGTTTTAAAAAGTTCAAGGATCGCTGAGTTTTTTGGAAATATACGGATTTTTATGAAAAGCAATTTTACTTTTTCCTGTCGTTAGTTTTTGGAAAATTGAAAAACTAATTGCACATTCTCATAGACACTTTATTAGGACTCAATATTGTTACATTTTCAAATTAACTAATAATTTGTGAGATACAGAGGCCAACCTATTTTTTTAAATACGGACCTGCATTTTTTATTTCAGGTTTTGAAAGAAGTCGATCCTGAGTACAATGATATGCCACACTTTATACTTTTTTTGTTTTGGGTACCTTAACAACAACAAAACTATTTAATTACTATTTAAATTAATTCCAAGTCCGACTCTGTTTTTTTAAATTATTTAATCTGATTATATTCATCGCAACAATATTGATCAGCGCTAATTAACATTGAAGGAAAATCGAGCCAATTGAAAGATTCAAATAAATAATATCCAGGTCAGCAATTTAAAGATATTGTTTTTATTTTTGTTTATTGTGAATTTGAAATCTCTGTGTACGATTTAATAATAATAATAATAATAATATTCTGAAATAATATTATAATAATAATATTATTTATTAAAATTTAAAGTATTAAATTTAAGAATTTAAAGTATTCTCTTTCAGAATATTATTATTATTTATTATAATAATAATATTCTGAAAGAGAATACTTTTATACCAAGAACAGCAACCTTTACGTCACGGTGTCTTCAGCTGATGTCAAATACACCCCCTTGAACCTCAGTAGTAAACAATATGAAGCTTATCCAACTCCTACATCAATCACTAATAAAATAGCTACTTGGGGAGCCAAGGAGTTACACGGACGGTACCCAAATGAGCTAGATCAACATCACATTGAAAAGGCGACATCATTGCACTGGTTAACATCGGGTTATCTCTACCCAGAAACCGAGGGATTAATAGTGGCTATGCAAGACCAAGTTATTCCAACACGCAACTACCGGAAACTCATCCTAAAGGAGAATATATCAGACAAGTGCCGTAGATGTGATTCTGGAAGTGAAAACATAGAACACATTTTATCAGGGTGCAGTAATCTTGCGAGTACAAAGTATCTGGAAAGACACAACAGAGTCACATCAATCATCTACTTGGGGATCCTCAAACAATTCAATATTGACCGAGAAATCCAAGAGCCGTACTACAAATATCATCCACCACCCGTAGTCGAAAATAATAGTTTCAAAATATACTGGGGATAAAACAATCTTAACAAATAAAACCGTTAGAAGTAACAGACCGGACATCATGCTTATAAATAAAATTAAAAAACAGTTTTACTAATTGACATTTCTATTCCTAACAACAACAATATACAAAGCAAGTTTACAGAAAAAATAACAAAGTATCAAGATTTGAGAATAGAAATAAACAATATATGGCAAATGGAATCGGTCCAGGTAGTCCCCTTGATTGTTTCAGTTATTGGAATTATCCCGGTCAACCTGAAAGAACAATTAAAAGTAATTGGAATACCTGAAAATACTTACCGCCTAATGCAGAAATATGTGCTGCTTGATGCTGCTAACATTGTTCGTTCCTTTCTAGGTGATTAACAATAGCACCTTATCTTGTCCCCTTGGACCGATAAGGCAGCTTTAAACCTGTTCTGAGCAGTGAAAAAAAAAATATTCTGAAAAATAATTCAACTTAGCTCTTTGAACAGATTTTCTTCTTATACTTCCAAATGCATTTTGTACTCTTTATTGTAAATGTTGAGATGTTTTGATTTCAGTTTTATAAATGACGTGAAGTAATAAAAAAATATAACCCAGTAATAATGTTTAATACAGTGTAATAAAATTATTAAATACGACAACATTTTTCAATGAAATTTATTCATGTAAGTAATATGCTGATTTCTGATATAGGTAACTGTATCTATAGATAATAAAAGCACATAAAAGAGATCGATTTTAAAGAATTAGTATCACGTCCATACATTTACGAGCGAGAAAAAATCTTGTGGTATCACGCACTTAGCTACTGTACTTTAAATATGCCAGATGCCTGTTAATTTATGTAGAATTAATGAGGGTTTTTTTTACATTTTTTACTTTTATACTGAGTGACCTACTTTTTAGAAAATCTAATATTATACAATACAGGGTACATAATGTGTACTAGATGTTATTTTTTTTAGAATCAGGCTGCTGCAGAATCGATCAATAAATGGGTAGAATCTCAAACGAATAACAAAATCCAGAATTTGATTAATCCAGACTCTTTATCCGCTGCTACAAGACTAGTTTTAGTGAACGCATTGTATTTTAAAGGTAAGCATTTTCTTTGATTTCTGAATTTCTGAGTTATTGAATGCCTTTTCAAAGCAAAAGTCTCTACTGCGTGGTTAAATGAATATCATTATACTTCTTCCCTTATCAAAAACTGCGATTTTTGTGGCTCTAGTTTATTTATGTCTTTTTTAGGTAAATGGTCAACTCCTTTCGAAGACTACCTGACCAGAAAAGAAAAATTCTTCGTCACTAAGACTAACTCCAAAGAAGTTGATATGATGCACGTTGAAGACACTTTCAGGTAAATCTTTGGTAATTACATTTCAGGCACTAAATCTATTTCAAACTAATGAATACAATTATTGTAGAAATTGTATGGGATGTGTACTGTGTATGATAAACAATTTTATTGTATTGTGTATACAATACATTAAAAATGTTTATGATTAAGGAACCATTCCATATCCATTTCATTCTGAAGCTATTTTTTGCAGATACTACGAATGTACAAAACGCAATGCCAAGTTCCTTGAACTGCCCTATGCCGGCGAAAATGTTACCATGACCATAGTCTTGCCCAACGAAGTTGAAGGTCTGACAGCTCTGGAAAGCAACATCGAATCACTGTTGACACCTCCACCGTACAACTACGAACGCGTTGCAGTCAGCCTGCCAAAATGGTTGGTCGAAACCAAATTGGAGCTCAATCAAATTTTAGAAAACGTAAGTAAAAGATTGTTACATGTATAGGGTGTCTCAATATTCCTTTGACATACAGGTTGTCCCAGGCTGAGCGTGCATTACAAGTTTCTAGAGAACCACAATATGTAGCTCGGAGATTTTTTGCACATCATAGTTTCACAACGAAATCTATCGATTAAAAATATTTTCAATATGGAAATACCGGAAGTTGGCTTCCGGTAATGTCGCTAAGGAGACTTGGGCTATTGTAAATGACTTAAGGAATAAGACTTCTTCGTCTGTCACAGTCTTTAATTCACCTGAAGATTTAAACACTTACTTTGTTAATGTGGCTAAAATTTAGTGAACACCATAACTCCTTCCCATGATTCACTTTCATATCTCCCTAAAGCAAATGAGAATTTACACAGTTTCTTCTTCACGACCGTAGCATTAGATGAGCTCTGTAGTACAATTAATAGTATTAAAAACAAATCCTCATCTGGGACTGATGGGCTTACTCTCAAAATGTTCTCTGACCTTCCTGAATGCACATTAAACCATCTTACTACTTTAATTAACGAGTCATTCCAAAATGAAGTTTTTCCAAACTGCCTTAAGACAGCAATAATTATTCTTCTGTATAAAGGAGGTGATAAAGATGAAGCTTCGAACTATCGGCCAATTGCACTCCTGCCCACATTATCTAAGATCATTGAAAGATTGGTTAAAAAAAGATTTCTATCTTTTCTCCTTAAATATAAAATACTTACTACCCATCAATTTGTATTTCTAAGTAACAGTTGCACAAATGATGCTATGTTCGACCTTTTTAATAATGTATACTCTAGCCTGAATAACCATCACTCTACAGCTACAATTTTCTGTGATTTCTCTAAGGCTTTCGATTGTGTAAATCATAATATCTTAATTAATAAATTGCAATACTACGGTTTCGGGGGAGTGCCGCTCGAATGGCTTAAGTCATATCTTGGCAACAGAAGGCAGCTTGTGAGGATTGATACGTCTATGTCTTCTTGTAAGCCTATAGGATGTGGTGTCCCTCAGGGTTCAGTACTTGGCCCTATTTTGTTTCTGGTGTTTATCAACGACATTGCAAATCTAGACATTAGCGGTAAAATCTGCCTCTTTGCGGACGATACTAGTGTCACTTGGAGCGGCCCAGATGTTGCGGCCCAGATCATCATTAAGTCTTGATGCGATTCTAATATACTATGCCTCAACCTATCAAAAACTAAAGTTTTGTCATATAAAAGTACTATACAACCTTTTGTACTTAATAACACTCTCACGTTTGTTTTTAAATATCACTAAAGAGCGAAAATACGAGATATATTTTTATAAATACACTTTTTAAACTCTTATGGATACAAGCCAATATCTTGGTTGTTTGTTGAGCGATCTTTTTCATTTTTGGCAGGCGGCTGTATGGCTATAAAACGTACATTTTGCCCAGGGTAAGAAATGCGATACCTCATAGACGTACGTTTTAATGGGGTTTGATATTTTTCGAGTCAACAGTAAACTACCCTTAGGATAGTATTTATTTCAAATCTGATAAATTATATTGAATCCTCCTCACCTAAGATACTTAAGTTCTAATTTTTATAAATATTGATACAGGGTGTGTCACTAAAATAAGACATTTTTATTTTTATTTTTATTTTTTTAAGTATGTACTTACGACACCACTGGATAAACAACTGATTTATTATCAATAACCAATTATATCCAATTATCAATTAATAATCGATTTATGTTTGCTCGAAGATGGTCGAAGATGATGACTTTTAGTTCGTTATAGTTTTCTAAATCTTTGTTTAGGGCATATTTTCCAAAATTAATAGTGATTGTGAATACTTTATTCATTTGTATTAGCAAACTTAAAAAACAATTTTATAAAGTAAACAAAATAAATTGAAAATATTTAGTTTTTTTGTATCGTATCTTAATTATTATGGAATCTATCTGAAAACTTAAGTCGATTATTAATTGATAATTGGTTATGGATAATAACCCAGTTGTTTATCCAGTGGTGTCATAAGGACTTAAAAAAATAATAATAAAAATAAAAATGTCTTATTTTAATAACAGACCCTGTATCAATATTTATCAAAACTAGAACTTAAGTATCTTGGGTAAAGAGGATTCAATATAATTTATCAGATTTGAAATAAATACTGTCCTAAAGGTAATTTACTCTTGACTCGAAAAATATCAAACCCCATTAAAACGTACGTCTATGAGGTATCGCATTTCTTACCCTGGGCAAATTGTACGTCTTATAGCCATACAGCCTCCTGCCAAAAATGAAAAAGATCGCTCTACAAACAACCAAGATATTGGCTTGTATCCATCTTAAGTGGGACACTCTGTATATAAAATCATATTTTTTGTTTATGATATAGATAAATTCTCCATATAGGAACATAAGTATTAAATATGTTTTTTTTTGCTTTAGTTGGGCTTGAAGACAGCCTTCACTGGCGATGCCGACTTTAGCAACCTTTCCAAAGAAGCCTTACAGATCAGCCAGGTTGTCCAAAAGGCATTTATCAATGTAACTGAGTCTGGAACAGAAGCCGCAGCTGCCACAGCCGGTAAGTTTGATTTTTTATTTAATTTGGCTGATTTGTCGTAGTGTTGTCGTGTTTTTGGTTAAACCTCTTGCAGTAGTGGTTGTTAGATAATAAAATATTAAATTAACATCAAAAACTCCACATTGAGCTTTTTCAAAATTATATGGATCACTCTTTAAAAAAAAATATTTTGAAAATTACTGCAAGATGTTTTTAACTAGTAGTTTGGAGCTTATTTATGTGGGTTGTTTTGGTGTTCTTTTATCTATCCTGGTGGGTTTTTGGCTTAGAGCAAGGGTACACTCTATGTACATAATATATTCTCGATTCTCTGTTTGATTAGCCATGTAAATATATATATATATATATATATATATATATATATATATATATATATATATATATATATATATATATATATATATATATATATATATATATATATATATATATATATATATATATATATATATATATATATATATATATATATATATATATATATATATATATATAGATAATATACATATGCACAGAGTATTAGCCAATAATTGAATGTGTATATAAAAGACAAATACATATAAAAAATATTTAGTTATAATAAATAGTAAACAAGTGAGAATCCAAAATAAAAGTTTAAAGAAATGCTGAGGATAATTTTTAAACAGGTAGGTAGTATTCTTTTATTGATAATCACATTCTTAACCTGAGACCATATCATTTAAAAAGTTGATGATTGTTTGAAAATATTTCTAATTTTTATTTTTTTACGAAAATTTGTGTAATTTATTTGATTTTATTATTCATTGCTAGGTTTGTTCTGCGTGCTTTACCAAAAAGTAATATTAACCACAAAAATGAACAAATAATTAACATATAATGATGTTTAAAATTAACCTATAATGATGTTATCAACGGTTGAGATAAAATTAAAAATTGAAATTTGAGTTTCACAATTCGTAAAGATATGATTTACACGGCTTTAGTATAATTTTTTTTTCAAACGTCACAAAAGTATTAATTTTTTCGACGTTATTGACAATATAAAAAAGTAATTTTAACGCCTAGGCCTAAAAGTAAAGCACTTTTACGCCTAAGCAAAAAAGCACGAAAATATATGAATAAAGTGATATAAAGTGTCAAATTCAACGAGCGTAACCATAGTTTCTCGATATATAATTACATACAAGATATGACTTGTAAACATGGTACAAAGAATACAAGATATGATATTGCGCAGGTTGGTCGCTACGTCACAGGTGATAACAGGCGCTATTGGTCAGCACGCTCCGCGCGCCAGTTCAAATCGTCAAGGTATTGTTATAAACCTGTTTTTTGTTTATATACCGTCATTGAATTATCGCTAAGCAAGTTACTGTGGAGCAGTGCGTAAGGAGTTGGGCTAGGAAGCGAGAGACCGGAGTTCGAATCTCGGCGAGACATAACTTTTTTTTTTAATACTGTTGTATTCTATAGTTTATATTTGTAGTATAAAAGAAAGAACTATTTATTCTGTTATTTTTTAATCTGCGGTATTAATATAAATTGATTGTTGGTACAATACCTCATTTAATATAAAATAATATTCTACTTTTTGAAATGTATCTGGCCCTAATTGTACCTAAAAGTAATATATTTTTACAGTGATATACCATATTGTAAACTATTTAATATTTCAGTCACTTAAAAAGTTAATTTGCATTGAATAATTGCCTACGATCAAAGGAAATTTGAGCTATATAATCCTTGATGGGCATATTCTGGGTATGCAAATACTTCCTCTAAATTTTGGGTTTCGTTCAACCGATTTATTCTCAAAACCTGAAACATCTACATATAAAAAGAAGCACCAGATCACTAATTATAATAAACTTCACCCTTGGAATTACTTCTATCACAATTACAATACATTCATCTGCATTGGCATTTTCTATTTTTAGATGGGAAACAATATAATTCCCAACATTTTTTAAATGATGTAACAATTCCTCTTGTGGTTACTTTTCCATAGATATCCTCATCTCTGTCCTCATGTGAATTCAGAGGCAATGAACATAAAAATTATTTACCATAAACATCGCAAACTAAAAACCTAATAAACAATTTTATACCGAATACAGAAATAAATTTAGTATTCTTACCTATTATGGTCCAAATCCATGTTAATAGATAATTATTATTTTTAAATATATTTTTGAAACTGCTGGTTTTAGTAATTATTAAATTAAACGAACTAAAAGTCTTAAAAATAAACAATTCTTAACCATAACTTCCCAAAATGCAGATCTCCTGTCAACTATCTTTATTTTTTATTTATTCATTATTTTCCTAGTGACGTCACAGGTGGTATGCGCGAACTGAACGAAATTGGAGCCGCTATCGATCATACCTTGTATTCTTTGTACCATGACTTGTAAATCTTTTTATATTATTTGGAAAATTTGAAATTGTTTAAAAATTATTTGTGGCGTTTGAAAATAGCATAAGAATCATTTATGAGCCATATATTATTTATTAGTGGTAAAGTTACACTTTTTTTGTAATAGGCTGTACGTTTGACATACAGCCGAGGCACAAAAAGTGTAACTTTTACTCCTAATAAAACAATATACCACTATTATTCATAAATGATTAGCAGAACATTATATGAATTTTGTTAGTATTTTAAGGTTCATAAGGTGTATATCATGTGACAGTTGAATAGACTCATAGAGTAGTACTGTGAGGTAACAGTGATATCAATGTATTGTTTTTAATTAGTATATAGAGGTGGTGGCTTAAACAGTAAGTATTAGTACTTTATTAATATTCAATGTTAGTACACTTAGTTTGTTCTAATTTTTATCATATCTATAAAGTTATATTTTACCAAAACTAAAGTGTTATATTTTTAAGATTTCATTACTAAAGAGGATAAATTTGATATTAGTTAAAATATAATTCTTCTTATATTAAAAAAAAATTACTGCAGTTCAAATATGCAAAATACTAAGAGATATTTATGTTGGTCAGTAATGTATCCTATATATTCCAGAACGAAAGAAAAAAGTAAGCAAAACAAATAATAAAACAGAAAACAATTAAACAAAAATTGTTAATTACTAATGGTCTCGTAAAACTACCAATTAATTTTCTATATCAACTTTTCAAACAATAACAAGCAAAGCAGACATTATTTTAAATGAATAAAATTTATATACAGGGTGGTCCGACCTGTAGAAAAGTTCTTATAAATGTATGTCCTAAAATGTCTAGTTTCGGAGATACAGGGTGCAGAAGTTTCATTTTTATTTCCATTTTTTTCCAAATAATTTCAGAAATTACGTCAATATTTGGATGAAAACCGGTGTCTGGGAGTTTTTTTTACATGAGAAATTTGATTTTGATGTCATTATAACTCCTACTTGTAGAGAGCGCCACCTACATATGTTTTAACTGATTTAAAGAGTAATAACTTTTCGTCCGTACCTGTATAAAACTAGTAAGTAAACAAATATACGTTTACGACGTTTTTTATAGTGATGGGCAAAACTGTTATTTTTAAATAACAGTTGAAACTGTTACAGTTATTTATAAAAAACAGCTTAAAATAACAGGTTTCTTTATTTTATTGCTAAATATCTGAAAGAGTATATGAGTCACCTAGGCGTATTAACGCAGTTGCAAGTTGCGACAATGACGTGCTCGGTAGTATTTCCAGGGTGTCAAAACATTTGTAAATATCGATTGTTATCTAAAATACCTCTCTAAAAACGGTGGTAATAAGCGCTGTTTACAAATTGCGATATAAAAAAAGCCAAAATTCCGCCACTCGTCTATACCTATACATGATCTACCTACGCTGCCCCTCGATCCGCGTAGATCCTGAATTGCGTAGCAGTGTACAGGGTGCATTTCACTCGACGGGCGAGAAGCTCTTAGTTATGATTTTACCATTTGCGGTAAAAAATAGCAATATAAGAAAATGTTTAGTATATTCTTTATAAGTAAACCAACTACACACTAGAGTTCGAATTAATTTTACACTTAAACTAGCGTGTACCCGCGACTTCGTTCGCGTCGAATTAATAATTTGTAATGGTGATGATAAAGCAAAACAAGAATTTCCATTAATATACAAACTGGATCAAATGTTCTCACATTTGCCAAAAATAAGCTTTAAACGTCGAGCAGTTTAAGCAGAATCGTGGTTAATCAATTACTCAACTTTTTGGAACATCCTGCATGATTTTTTAAAAAATTTCAAAATATGTAAAAAAACTAAATAAATTATGCGTCACCAGGCGTTTTCCCTAACGACTGTTTTTTAAATAACAAATATTGTAATATTTGAGGGGCGTTTTCACCCTCTTGGAATTTGAGATTCGAGAAACCCCTCCTTATCGAACCTCAACCCCACAGTCAATCCGTTTGCCAAAAATCAGCTTTAAACGTCAAGCAGTTTAAGCAGAATAATGATTACTCAATGGTCATATTTTATGAAATACCCTGTATATATTTTTAAAAATCTTAAAATATGTAAAACAACATAATAAAATATACCTGTTTTAAAAGTTTTTCCGAAAAACTCACCGGTTTTTAAATAAAAAATATTCTATAATTTGAGGGTGGTTTCACCACCTTAGAATTCGAGTTTCGAAAAATCCCTTCTTATCGAACCTCTACACCCTAAAATCAATCCGGTTTCCAAAAATCAGCTTTTTACTTCAAGGGCTTTAAGCCGGATCGTAATTAATCAATGACCACATTTTTCAAAACACCCTGTATACATTTTTAAAAAATCTTAAAATATTATTCTGAAAATTTTTTAGAATAAATAAATACCTAAATATTGAAACTTAATAAGTAAGTACTGAAACATACAGCGCCATAATATCTCGACCTCCGCCCGTTATGCTCGTAACAGATTGAAAAACAATGTATCTAAAACAACTGATGCGTTATTCTCCAACCTGTTTCGAACCTCCATCGACAATCGACCGATGCAGCAGCGTTACTTTCCCACTCCGATTATCTCGACCGCCAGGCGTTATGCCCGCAACTGTTCCAAAAAGCTGCTTCTTTTATATCCTACTATTTTTAAGCTGTTGCAAGCCCCACACGACCATCGACCGATGCAGATACGTTCGCCGCGCCGCGCCCTAGCTCAATGATTGTCGATGGTTGTCGAAATAACATGTTTTCCATCCATAGTTGTTTTTTGGAATTGCTTCGAGCAGCGAATTTCGTGGCGGTGCAGAGCGCCGACTTCGTTTCACGAACGGTCGATCTCTATGTATCGTTATTTTATATCTGTTATTTTTTAAAAGTAGTAACGGTTGCGTTATGTTATTTCTAAATAATTGTTATAAAATAACAGATAGTTAAATAACAACCTATCACTAGTTTTTTACGTTGTAAAGGTCTCTTGGTAAAAATCGCTACGAGTAATCGTTCTCGAGATATTGGTTTGTCGTTCACATAAATTGAACATGTTGACTAAATAGTTAGAGTGAAATCATAAATTTGAAATGTTTTTTTTGCCAAAAGTTCAACAGAGAGCGTGTTTATTGTTAGTCAATATAATGACATGTATTGACTGAACGGCTGCTCGTAAGGATATTTACCAAGAGACATTTTTTACGTAAAAAATCACGGAAATGTATATTTTTCACACTCAGTAGTTATATACAGGACGGACGAAAAGTTATTACCCTTCAAAACAGTTAAAACACATGTAGGTGGCGCCCCCTACAAATAGGAGTCATATTGACATCAAAATCAAATTTCTTATGTTAAAAAACACCAAGACACCAATTTTCATCCAAATAATGACGTTACTTCAGAAATTATTTGGAAAAAATCGAAATAAAAATGAACTTCTACACCCTGTATCTCCAAAACTAAATATATTAAGACGTACATTTATACAAACTTTTTTACATATTTTTAGTACACACTGTATACATTATTTAGTTAAAAAACTGTGATTTAGGTAATAATTTAAGATTTTTTTTCCTAGTAGTAGATTGGCCGTTTAAGGTGTTTGTTTGTTATACAACTTTGTTTACCTATGTTACAAAAATATGCAAGTCTTTATTTTTTTAAAGTCTATCTTTTTATCCATAGTTTTCTTTGCATTATCTACCTTGAAAGTTTAAACTGTTCTGTTTAAGCCACAAATATGTTATAATAGATTATCGTACGTAAAACATAATAATTAATGTTAAAATTTTCTTTTGGTGTAGTGGGCTTAGTTTTTCTGTCCGCTCCTGTGATCCCACCGCACCCGAAAATATTTAAGGCAGATCACCCGTACTTGTACGCAATTAAGCAAAATGGCGTTGTTTTGTTTGTGGGACGAGTATATAAATAGAATGGACAATAATCGGTAAGTATAAGCAAAGTTCAAGCAAAAATTAAAAGATGAAATTTCTATGATTTATTCCACTCGACTCATATTTTTTGATAATACAGATACATAAATTTATCACTAATTGTATAATGGTAATAATATTAGATAATTTAAATTGCATGTTAGATATAAGTTGGTTAGGACAGTTTTTTACCAAGTTAGAATTTGCACTTTTCATAACTTGTGAATCTATGGTACACATTATTTAGTTATTTCAAGTTAATATTAGTTATCTTGTTATACTTTAAAGAAATCAACAAAAATGTATATTTCTTATTTCTGTACATAAAAACACCTATAGTTCATATCAAATAAACTTTTAGTCACACCATTAAGCTTGACCGGCACAGCGTTGCCCAATTTTACATATTTTCTTTTAATGAAAATATTTACATGATTTTTACATGAACAAAACTCACCTCCTTAACAGCACTTTTTTGTTCAAAATATTCTAATAATGTTGCAATGAGTTTTTTACGGCTATTAAGCTATCTTGTACACTTCGTACTAAAAGAGGTTCTAAATAGAACAATGTTCGACTACAAGGTCTGCTAGTAAAAATTTTTAAGCTTAAAATTTTACGACACCAATAATTATTATATGTAAATATTTCTTTTTCGTCTTGAACACTATAGTTGTATTGAAAAATAGTAGTTGTACTCTTTTTCTCTAAATAATTAATTGTAAATATTGTAAAAAACGCTGTTTTAAGAAAAGAATTAAAAAAAATCCCTAATCTAATTTGAGCATGCACTTTTTGGTTCTGTTGATTGTATAAAGAGTTTGTTCAAAGGATAATATATTCCTTGTACGATTTTTAATTTATTTTTATTAAAATAACTTTGTTATAAAGCTTTATTGCATTCTTAATCTTTTTTTATTTTTCTATTTCAGCAATCACAAGAAGAAAATCAGCATATTTTGGACCACCCGCCATCTTTAGCGCAAATCATCCATTTT